AATAACATCAACATAGAATTATCCAAAAATCAGTGGACATTCATTGGAGTTTAGAATCTACAAAATCACTCTGGGATAATCACTTAGCAAATAAGAAGCAGGAAGAAAAACACTATAAACAAACCCCAGGAACAACAAAAAACCCTGGAATGCAGGAAGGGATATGATATCAAAGTTATCAAAATATATTTTCTAAAATGTTTACTTCACAACAAAATATTTACAAAACGTGAAAACAATAACAACAAAAAAAACTTGTGGCACATACATAGGGGAAAGTCCTGTAATAGATATTATCATTGATGAATCCATGACATTGATATATTAGAAAAAAGTTTTAAATACACTAGCTTAAATACACTCAAATAACTAAAAGAAATCATGTCTAAAGAATTCAATGAGAGTATGACAAAATATCTCACAAAATAAGTGAAATCAGTGAAAAGACAAACAACTTTTAGAAGAACCCAATAGAAATTCTGGAATTGAAAAGTACAATGTCTAAAGTAGAAAACACACTAGCTGAGCATAATAACAATCTGAGAAGACAGAAGGAAGGATCAGAAAACTTGAAGATAGGATAACAGAGATTGCCCAGTGAAAGCAATTGCCCAGTGGAAAGCGAATAGAGAAAAATGCACAGAAACTCACATATCTGTCTGTGGCACATTATAAAGCCTATCAACAACCACATAATGGAAGTCTCAGACAAGAACAGGGCAATAGGTCCAAAACTATTTGAAGACCCAAAATTATTTGAAGAAATAATGACCAAGAATTTGACAAAAACAGTCTGTTAATCCAAGATACTTAAGGAACTTGAATGAACTTTTGAGATTGATATTTATACATCATAGTCAAGTTAATAATGTTAAAGTCAAGGAGGAAAAAAACTGAAAACAGCAAGACAAAAGCAATGTATCACAAGTAATTTGAAACATAATTAACAAGAGATTTCTCCCTAGAAACTAGGGAGGCCATAAGACTATTAAATGACATTTCAAACTGTCAAAAGAAAATTACTGTTAACCAATAATTCTATTCTTGGCAAATCTTTCCTTCAAAAATGAAAAGGAGGATATCAAAACACCAGCTACATCCACACAAAAGCTTGTGCATGCATGTTTAAAACAGCTGTATTCATAATTGCCCAAATTTAAAGCAACCAAGGTGTCCTTAAGTATGTGAATAGATAAATATAATGTGGTACATCCAGAAAATGGAATATTATTCAACATTAAAAGAAATAGGCATTCAGGCCATGAAAAAATATGAAAGAAACTTAAATACATATTACTGATAAACCAAACATGAAATAGCCTCACACTTATGAGTTCAACTATATGATATTATAGAAAAACAAAATTATGAAGGAAATAAAAATACCAGTGGTTTCCAGTGGTAAAGGGTGGAGGGTGGGATGAATAAATGAAACATAGAGCACATGTAGGTCAGTGAAACTACTCTGTAGGATATTATAATGGTGGATACATGTCATTATGCTTTTGTCCAAACCCAAAGAATAGACAACAAGAATGAATTCTAATCTAAAACTATGGACTCTGGTTGAGTCCACATGTCACTGTAGTCTCATCATGTGTTAACAAGTGTAACCACTCTGATAAAGGAAGTTGATAGTGGAAAGGGGTGTGTGGGCTATCTCTGTAATTTTTGTTAGATTTCTGTGAACTTAGAAATTCTCCAGTATATAAAGAAAAGAAATTAAAAATTAAAAAGAAAAGGAAATTAAAAAGAAAAGGAAACCTGAAGATAGATTGTCAAATAAATGCATTAATGTGAATTAATTATATTAATATACATATATATTATAAATTTATCATTTTAACCATTTTACATGCACAGAAGTGTGCACTTAAAATGGTTAAAATGGTAAATATATATATATATATATATATGTGTGTGTGTGTGTGTGTGTGTGTGTGTGTATGTATAATAACCACAATAAAAATATCCAGCTGCTTAAAAAAAAGATGAGCCAGAAAATGAGAGAAAATATTTGCAAACATATATCTAATAAAGGACTTGTAGCCAAAAATACATAAATAACTCTTAAAAGTCAACAATATAGAAACAACTTAATTTAAAATGAGACAAAGATCTGAGCACCAAAAGAAGGCACATATGGCCAATAGAACCATGAAAATATACTCAATATTATCAGTTACTAGGGAAATGCAAAATGAAAAACAGTAAGACTCACCTCACACCCACTACAAATTTTATAATCAAAAACACAGACATTAATGAAGTGTTGGAGAGAATATGAAAAAATTGGAACCCTCCTATATCATTGGTAGGATTTTAAGGTGCAGCTATTTTTTAAAACAGTCTGGCAGTTTCTCAAAGTGTTAAACATAGAGTTAGGCTGACTCAACATTTCTACTCCTACGTGCATACCCAAGATAACAACACATATGGCAACACAGAATCTGATACACAAATGCTCATAACAGCACTATTCATAATAATGAAAGAGTGACTCCACCAAAATGTCTGTCAAAGATGAGTGAATAAACAAAAACGGTATATTCATACAATGAAATGTTTGGTGATAAATAAGAACAAAGCACTGATGTATGCTACAAGATGAGTGAACTTGAGCACATTAGGCTAAGTGAAAGAAGCCAATTACAGATTACGTGTTTATGATTCCATTTATATGAAGTGAACAGAATGGACAAGTCTATACAGACAAAATATATTAATGATTACCTGAGACTAGGTGAGTTTCAAGGTGGGTGTAGGGTGGGGAAATATGCAGTCACTGCTAATGGAGTTTGATTTTGGAGGGATAAAACTATTCCAATTTGGAGTATGATAATGGTTGCACCTCTCATAACATACTAAAAGCCACCAGATTGTGCACATTTAATGTGTGAATTACATCTCAGTAAAGTTATTTAAAAAAATAAATTTAAAAGAATTGTAACATACAGTATCTTTTCTAAGTATGTCAGCCTATTAAGGATTTACGTCAATCAGGACAATGGCAAATAGCCAAGTAAAATGTTTCATGACTACATAGAAATGCTTCAGTCTAAGTGTGAGAGCCTTGAGCTGCACCTCATCAAGTTAGGATAAAGTGTCCTGCTATGTTGACAGGGTAACACACAGAAAGTAGAGGTATGTCTGTGTTTCATTTCACTGTTTCAATGAAGGAGCCAACAATGTCAGGCGGAAAGGGGAAAACAATCAAGAAAGTAGATTGTAAGAGTTTTACAAACGTTTAACCAGCAATGTTCAACCACTTATTAATATTTTTGCATAATTATGTGTGCACCAGTGCTTTTTGTGTTCAGGATAACAAATGGTGTAAACACTTCTTCCTTCCAGAATCCTGACATCAGTGTCTATTGATTAGCAAAAGGCCAGTAATGCCAATACTGTTGGGTGTTGGGTAACAACTAGGACTGAGGCCTGCTCCTAGGAGTGAGGCGTTGAGCAGAACCAGCTGCAGAGCCTGGAGATAAGACAGAACTTCTAAAAGATTGACGCATACCAAGTCAGCCTTTTCAAACAGAGTGAATGGTGTTGTCCAAGTGTGATTCGTAGTTGGGAACCCACACATAGAAATGTAGTCAGAGAAGCAGGCAGTTAGCTGATGTCTAGCTCAGGCTTAGAAAGCCATGGAAACCTAGAACACCATCAGAAATGGGGCAGAGCAACAAAACCTGATGCCTCAGCTCTAGGAAGGTCACCAGTGCTAGGCCTAGGGCAACAGAAGCACCAGGATCTTGCTTCCAGGGGTAACTAACATTACAGGAATTATTCTCTGGAAGAGGTCAAAGTTTGCTAATCAAAACTGGAGACTAATCATATTAGCACTGACTTAGTTTTCTGTTGCTGTAAAAATTATCTGGAGCTGGATCATTTGGAAGAAAATAGATTTATTTAGCACAGTTCTGGTGGTTCAAGAGTATAACCTCACTGTTTATTCAGCTTCTGGTGAGGTCCTCATGCTGCTTTAGATCATGAAAAACAGTAGAAAGAGGAGGTGGGAGTGTGGGAAAGAATCATGTATGTGAGAGAAACAGGACGATACACTTTTATTAACAACCTATTCCTGCTAACTAATCCAGCCTCTTAAAGCTTGACTCCCTCCCCCAAGACTTAACCAGTCTTGAGAGAACATACCAGTCTTGAGAAAGACATTAATCTATTCATGAGGATAATACCCTATGACCTCCCATGAGTCCCCACCTCTTAAAGTACTGTTACACTGAGACCAAGTGACAGTATGGTGGAGTACCACCTCCAAACCATATCAAGCTCTGGGAGTCTGCTGATCTCTTGAATCTGGGAGTGATTGCCTTATGAAACTTATTATTCCTGGATTTATCTGGATGCCTAAAATTCTGGGAAAGGGGGAAAGGTGTGATGAATGTGGGCCATGCAGTTAGATTTGTGGTGGCTGAGAGCCAGTGACATATTGACAGGCACCTTCACTCTTGAAAGGTCAAGTGTAGCCACTGGCTTTCTAAGGTTAAGACATGAAGACAGTGACCTCCCATTTACTGCATACATGGACAATGGCCAGGCTTGTGGCTAAAGAACACCTTTCAGATCATGAAGATCTGCTCCAGGGTTAGGTGGCATTACCTTTTTGTTTGGAGTTTCCATGTCTCTGAAAAAAATCTGGAGAACAAACATGACCTAAAATTTTAAGTCCTGTTACATGAGCAGAATTAAAGGGGAATGAAGTGAAGAAAGGGGGAATGGGAATAAGAAAGAAGTAGAATGAATCAGACATTACTTTCCTATATGCATATATGAACACACAATCAATGTAATTCCATATAATGTTCAACCAGAAGAACGGGAAGTTATACTCCATATATGTATAATATGTCAAAACACATTACACTAATGGGTAACTAATAAGAACAAATTTTTTTTAAAGGTGAGCAGAATTACAATTTGACATTAGCGATTTATAAACCTTCATCTCCAAGTGCTGATATCTTGGTCTATGTTTTTAGATGGCTACCCAAAAGAAGAAATGATTTATAGATGGAGAAAAAATTCAGTTGAGGCAGCTGACCAGAAATCATGGCGGCTTTATCAGTTTGACTTCATGGGCCTCAGAAACACCACGGAAATCGTGACAACTTCTGCAGGTAGGAATTAATTAAAAAGGTATAGCTCTCAAATAAATATTTTTTTACTTAATTTTTACCCCCCTGAGGTCTAAGGCTATATATAGTCAGCAACTTAATGTTGAATCCTTTCATGTGTATGTTTTCAACTAATTGTATTAGGGCGACCATGATACATACAAGTGATATCTGAGACAAAACAACTAATTCAAAAGTGAGAATATTTTATGTGCTTTAATTGGGATGACAGAGGGATAATTAGAATTGATTTATACTTTTGAATTGGAACTGTATCTGCATTGTTTATAAACCTAACTAAGATTTTCAATACCATATTTGTATAAACCAATTATACTAATGGTGAGAGTTCTGAAACTTTCCACATACATGATAAGAATCAAACACCACTGAGAACTTGCAAATAAAAGGAGCTGGTGTGAAATGTCATTTGAGTTTTTATTTCTAGCTTCCTCTTTTTATGGCCATTTCATCTTAAATTTTGAATTTCTTTTTTAATTGATTGAGCACAATAATTACCTACCAATTTTATTTTATTAAGTGATCATTTATGCATACTATAAAGCATGTAATTAGATGAAAAGAGACACTTTGCATATTAATATGTTTTAATTTTGATGTTTTATGTTTGTGTCTGCTTTTCATTTTGGGTATTTACTTATTCCTATGGCCCACTAGTTTGCAACTGATTGTATTTGGGCAGGATGTTAGGTGTAGTTTAAGGTTAGAGTCAACTTCTCTACAGATATTATTTGTTAATATGAGTAATTTGTTCACTTTTAAAATCCTATGATAATTTACTTCATTGATGACTAAATTAAGGTGTCAGATTTTACAACTAATTGTAAATATGCTTGAAGGACACTACAAATTCTTGGTACAATTGCAAAATAGAGATCCATTCATACATTAAGAATGGTCCTGACAAAGCTACCTGATCAAAGAAGAAAACCAAAGATTTCCTATGGTTGTCATGATGGTGAAGTTGTGGGATCTATATTTAAATATTTAACAATGACAGGGTTAGAAGAAGATCATAACTTACTTAAATGAACTGTTGTGGCAGCATGAAAAAAAATGTTTTAAAGAAGTTTCTTCCCAGTTATGAGTCTCCAACACTCTAGGTTGCACTGTACCTGCAGACTAGTGGGATGTAAAGTTGCAAGAGTTTTACCAAATAGAGGATTATTCTGTATTTAAATGCCAAGTCCTGGTGTTCTTGGCAAGAAGATATTAAACAAAAGGAAATGTAAACAATTCGCTCAGGGGTATTGAAATTAATTGTAAAGGAATACTAGCTCAGGGAAGTGACCAACAGAGGGAGCCATGGAGTTGAACTGATCATCTGAACAATTAATGTGTTAATGTGATTGTGACCCATAAAGAAATTAGAATGGATCTAAATCCATGGTCTTCAAAAGTTTCAGAACTGTGGTGGTGCTCACCTATAATCCCAGTGACTCAGGAGGCTGAGGCAGAAGGATTGCAAGTTTAAAGCCAGCCTCAGCAACTTAGTGAGGCCCCAAGAAACCTAGCAAGACCCTGTCTCAAAAAAAAAAAAAAAAAAGGATAAAGGCTAAGGATGTGGCTCAGCAGTTAAGTACCCCTGGGTTTAATCCCTAGTACCAAGAAAGTTTCACAACCATAAACATTTGTATAATTTGTATAATAACCCCCAAAAATGTTTTTATGGTTATACTTATAAAAAGCAAAAACCTCCTTTGGATGATTAAAAAAAATCCCACCCATATGTTCATTATTTAATCTTCCAAGCATTGCTAGCCATTATAAATCTACCATCACAGCATCAACATAACAGACCTAACAAGAGGATAGCTGTCAATTGTTGGCTGGATCCAGATTATGCGAACCATGAAATGGATTCATTAGTACTAAAATATGTATTTACTAGAAAAGGAGAAAAAGAAGTAAAAACAGTGAATAACTTTTGTGTAAATCAGCTTTTTATTACTGTAACAAGTACCTGTGGAAATCAACTTATAAAGAGAAAGATTTATTTTGGTTGATGGTTTAGCCTATAATCAATTGTCCCCATAATTTTGGGCCAATAATTAGGCAACACAACATGGCAAAAGCACATGGTGGAGTAAAACGGCTCTCCTCATGGCTGGGAAGTCTAGAGAAGAACAATCTGGAGTCCTATTACTTTTTCAATGCCATGCCCTCCATGAAGACCTCCCAATGAGGCCTACCTATTAAAGTTTCATCGTCTCTCACAGCACCACTCTGGGGAACAAATCTTTAACACAGAAGCCTTTAAGGAAAATTTTAGATCCAAACTATAGCACTCTTTTTATATTATTCTCTTATTTGTTAGTCATATTCTTATGTTGTCATGTCTCCAAGTATAAAAACAAAAACAAAATTGCCTGTACCTGCAGAAGTTTAACTACTGGTAGCGAGAGTTGGCCTTTGTACCCTGAAGATTAATTCAATTCAAGTGGATTTCATGTTACTCAATGTTTCTTAATAATATTCTTAGCTTCACATCATCTTTTTAAGATCCCCAGAGTGGTCTTAGAAATATTGTTTCTGTTTGGGAAGCTCTGACCTGATAATCCACTTCTTACTAAGGGAATTCCCAGGTCGTCCCTCTCTCTGTTAGAAATTCAAGGTTAATGGCACTCAGGTCCAGACCTGACAGATCTGAAAGGAGGTACTGTGAGCTTATTCTTACCCTAAAGCAGCTTCATGATAAGTGACTAACTTTGCCATGTTGGTGAGCTTTGTCGTAATCTTTTAAAAGTAGATAAAACATTTTATTATGGCCATGTATTTATTCATTTATCTAAATTCCAATTTTCAGAGGGAAAACTTAAACCACTGGTCATGATGAAGGACTGCAGGAAGGTGCAGGAAGGGTGGATGAGACTATTTCCTGTATGTAACTGCAGTACTGCTGTGGAGTAAAAAAATATTGAGAGAGGAGCGGGATAGCTGGAGCCTGCAAACACAAGAGATCACATTGGGCCTATGGCTGGGGTGTGTTGTTCTCTGTATACTTTTCTGGCCATATCCAGCATCTAGTGAGGTGTTAACAGACTGATAAATATTCATAAAACACAACTGCTTGCTAAATGTGGTTGCCATTTTTACCAGGTAGAGGATCACCCATGGTGTTCTGTTGGCATTTTAGAAGATCTGTCAGATCATTGTCTTCATAGACAAATGCTATTCCTTGTTTTCAATTTCATAATTCAAAATAATGATGGCAAGAACACATAGAGTTGTCCCTCAGTATCCTTAGGGGATTGGTTCCAGGATCCCACAGATGCCCACATCCACAGTCACTCATTTCCTTTATATAAAATGGCATGGTACTTGCATACCACCTATGTGTATCCTGTCATGTACTGTAAATCATCTCTATGTTACTTACTTATAACATGGAATACAATGTAAATGCTATGTAAATAATTCTTATACTATATTGTTTGATGAATGACAACAAAACATAATCTCTATATGTTCAGTACAGTACTGTTTCTTTCCTGAATATTTTTGATCTGTACTTGGTTGAAAGGCCAAACATACTTACATAATCCCTTTCTTCCCAGAAGATTAAAGCATTGGCAGCACTGTCTATCTAGCTGATTCTCACACTAATTTTGAAGTTTAAGGATGATGGAAGATATTTTTATTCTGTATTTTTAAGTCTTCATAAATAATTCTGCTAGGAAATTTATTTTCAAGAGGAAAACCATGAAAAACTTCAGTATCTTGAGTCTCCAGGTGCATCACCAACACCAGGTACCTGGAGGTGGTCTGTCTCACATCATCTTCTCCACTGTCGTCACTCCAGCCTTGATTTGGACATGACCCTAAACAGACTTTTATTTGACAGGTCCTACTTTTCTGTGTTGATATAACAAGAGTATCAAAAATATTCTTTAGATCACTGTAAATAACTTTGACATAATACAATGCATATGTTTACTTAAAATGTATAAAGCCTGTTCAAGAACTAGTAATTCTATGGACTTCTTGTAAAAACATTGCCACATTGCCACATGTCTTAATAGGAATGTATGGTGTTTCAATTCTGGAGGTTGGAAGTCTAGGATCAAGGTTTTAGCAGCACTTATTCTTTCCAAGGCTTGGTCCGGGCCTTTCTCCTTGGCTTCTAATGGTATTCTTTCTATGTCTTCACATGATCCTCCCTCCTAATCTCTCTGCCTCTGAATTTCTCCTTTTTATAAGGACATTCATTAGTCATATTGAATTAAAGCCCGCCTAACGATTGCATCCTATCTTGGTCATCTGCAAAGACCCTATTTCCAAATAAAGTCACATCTACAGGTACAGGGAGACAAGACTCCAACCCCTTTGGGGGGACAAATTTAATCCACTGCAGTAACCTGGGAAGGGTAGCACACTGAGAGAAGCAACATTTCAATTGCATTTAGAAGGGAGATATTCTCTTTGCTCCAGACTCATTCCTTCTACTTGTATTCTTTAGTGTTGAGCAGGTTTCAGTCCTTCCACCAACCTACATAAATGGTTTGTCTATACAGTGAGAAAACAGGCTTTGGGCCAGTGCTATTTAGGATTTATCAACCTAGGAGCTGCTGAATGGCAACTGAGGCAACTCCTCCTGGATTTGGGCCCCACCTCAGATCCTCCACATTAGAATATCCTGGGGTAGAGACCAGGGCTCTGTATTTCACACGCCCTCTGGGGGGTACTCCTAATGCTAAAGTTTGAAAATCACTAAGCTAGCCCAATGTTAATGTCTGTAACTGTTAGATAATATAAAAATCATATTCCTATGGGATCATAGCTAATGAACAACAATATTCCTGCTAAGGCTTTTGGCTAGCTCAACAGTGTGGTGTGTTGGTTAGGTTACTGATGTTTTTAGACAGTCTTTCTAATTTTTCTGCCTTCCTCAACTATTCCCCAGGGATGACTGTCAGCTGAGATATTCTAAAGGCAGTGCTGCCCATGGAGCAATACAAATACTCACCTTAGTTTCTAATACC